TGTTTTTTTAAATATACACAGTAGGCTACATTTAATTTATTTCTGTGACGAAATTATTTTAAACGTTTAGATTATTATTATCATAAGATATAAACAGCATAAGCACATGGTGAAGACCTGAAGAACAGAGCCTTCATTCTCTGCTCAACATCCTCGTCATGCATTAGAAAATTATGCATTAAAACAACCAACAGCAACAACCTAATAGAAGAATATGAGAAGAAAACACCTATGAAGTATGTGTGATTGTTAAAAAAACAAAAGACAAACATATTATCCACAGAGAAGTGTATTAAAAATCACTAAAAATATCAGAAAACTCTTCTCAATGTGCAATATACAAAGGAAATAATCAGCTCAAAATTCATACAAATCAATTGTTTTACACAAACTTCCTTCAGTTCTTTGTACAGTTTATTAGTTGTTCTCTACTGTTATCGTTGTGCATTGAATATATTACAAAATATCCACAAAATGTGTCACTTAGTCAAGGTTTCGTCAGTTTCCTCAACTATTGAAAAGGGGTCCCTAAAGCCCCTATAAGGGACTTTCACTTTGTGTTCATTGTGATGACCCCTGTGGACAAAAGCGCTAGTGTTTCTACCGCCTCGTTTCATTGATTTCAAGGTAAATCCCACCACATGGCAGGCATTAAGAATAACTATATAGACAATCTTGACGGTCTTGTTTGTTTATGTATGTCATAAAGAGGCATCAGTATTACATTGAGATTTAGTTGTTTCATAACCAGTTAAAAACACCTTTTAGTACGAAAAGGGTTGGGAACCACAGAGTTACACCAGTGTGGGTCAGGTCAGTCAAATTTCTGTTACCAGAATAAACCTGAAGTTCACTGAAGTCCTACATACATCTCTTTTTCCTGTTTATTCTAGTCTACCCCGAGCGCCCCAGGACCTTTACCGACGAGTGGAAGGCCAAGCAGCTGAAGAGGATGCTGGACATGAGGATCAACCCGGTCGAGGGCTTCGCGGCCAAGTGGGACTACGAGAAGGGCCAGTGGAAGTAAAGAGACTGCGGCGGAGGTGGCATAGAGTCTGGACCCTTCAACCTCAGACCACTGTGAAGCTGCTGCTGAAGTCAGGCTCAATCTGAATGTTGTATTACAACTATCAAAACCACTAGAAAGAAAGATTTATCCACTGTCCATATCTCTGGGGTCTTTTTGACTCTGTGCCACCTGCGGCTCTCAGTCAGACACCTTCTGTCACCGTCCTGTTGTAACCATATAATAATAATAATAATAAAGTTTTGCTTATGTCTCTGTCGGGCAGTTTTAGTGTGTGGAGTATTATATTATTTTTATCATATTTGTTCAAATGCAAAGCAGTGCACAAAAACATAATTAAACTAAGAATGTTACCATTGATTTCATGACCATTAATTACATTTCTCCAGTAGTGGAAAGTAACTTAAAGCTGCAGAAGGTAACATTTCTAATATTTTGTCATATTTGCTGAAACCTTAATTGTGTTGACAGTAGAACATGAGACAGATAATCTGTGAAAAAAAATCAGGTTCCTCTGGCTCCTCCTAATCCACCGGGCCTGAACCAAAACAACCAAACTGTGTGTTTTGAAAACTAAACCTTATTACAATGCTGCTGCTGGTGTGAGGGCATCACCCCTGTTAACAACTAACGAATCACCAACTAAGTACAATTCTGTGCTACTTTACTTGAGTATTCCTATTTTATGCTACTTCATACTGATAGTATATTTGAGAGAGAAATAGTGTACTTTTTACACCAATGCACTTATTTGACAGCTATAGTTAGCAGCTAGTGTGCTGTATTTTTCATACAAAAGGTTTAATCAGCTTTTACAATTATAAGTATTGTTCTGTGATTTAAAAAAATATTACAGTCATTTAATAAAGTCATTTTAGTCTGTAATTACGCCTTTAAAAGGACAAGAGTGTAGGATTTAGTGGCATCTAGCGGTGAAGTTTCAAATTGCAACTAACACCACTTGAGTCTGTATTTAATGACCTACGAATGAGATCAGGCTGTGAAGTGTGTAGGAGAAACTACGGTGACCATGACTTGTGAAAAACGCAAAAGGTCTTATCTAGAGCCAGTGTTTGGTTTGTCCGTTCTGGGCTACTGTAGAAACATGGTGGCACAACATGGCATTCCTCAACAGAAGGCGACTTAGGGCATCTGTAGATAAAAACGTCTCATTCTAAGGTAACTAAAACATTACAATACTTATATTCAGGTGACTATACACTAATGAAAACATACCTATGAACATTATATTCTCTTTATGACAATTGTTCCTCCTAAATGTTACACACTGGACCTTTATAGTTTAAATTAGGAATATTTCCACCTGTTTTCACTTTTTGGATCACTCGACATTCAACATTTTATTTATTCAGATTAAAAAAGGGTTGACATATTTTATTATTGCACTTTTTACACTTGTTTTAAGAAAATAGTTTTTACAACTGAGTTACAGACAGAAATAGCTTCATAAAAATGGTATTCCTACATATGTAACATTACATTTACTGTAGATAATTTAAGTACATTTTACTCAGGAGGATACTTGGTTACTTAAAATGCAGGACCTTTACTGGAAATGAAGTGCTTTATACATTTTTGTATCACTGCTTTTACTCGAGTAAAGGATCTGAGTACTTCTTCAGCCACTGCTTTTCACCAGCTGTTGGGAGGTGCTTTAAGAGAAACACAGAGGATTGAAACATGGCAAATTCTGAAGAAAACAACACACATAAAACTAAATCCTGACATTAATTCATAATCATAAAAGACAAACATTAGAAGCAAGAGCAAATAGTTTCCATAGAAACTGAGTGAACAGAGGCAGAGCTCATTCTGTCTTAAATACAGTGAGGTATGTGGCTCTCAACTGGTTTATTAAAATGAATGCATTAAATATTAATATGAACTAATGGAACTGCCTTCTGGTAACTAAAGACAGTGAGTTGATGGGGTTCATACATACCACAAAAAAATGAATAATTAATAACTATTGTAAACAACAGGTAAACAACAAGGTAAAGTATTAGTAGAGTAGTATTATGATGATATATACACAATATCAGCACAATACAAAATGCGTTTCCTCCTGATATTCTGCCATGTGAATGCTAATCTAAACCTCTTTTCTTAGCAGACATTTTGACTTGTAACAATAGCTAAAGCACAGGTGCTACTAATATTAACAATGGCTCAGTTCCATTAAGTGTGCCAGAAAGCCGTGACAGTGGAGCAGCATGCACAATAGCAGTGACCAGAAAGTGACACTTGCTATTAATCTTGTTATACCTCAGTATGTCTCCTGTGCAAAAGGCCTTTTGTTGTTTGTCGTAATATGTTGTATATTTAGCTACGCTAGCAGAGTGGCTACATGGACCACTTCAGTCCAGAGAGAAATATCCGATCTATTTGATTGATTACCATGAAACTTATTTCTAACAAACCTGCAGCAAAGAACCACTAGCAACTGTAGACTCTCATTGTTGAACGGTAGAAAATAGATCCCAAGTTTCTGAGGATATAGAACTTAATCTAAACTAACCACTTGTATTAATTCTGCATTTCCTTTTTACATTAGTTGTAATAGTTATTTTTTTTAATTCTCTTTATTTGTTAGAAATGTGACCCCTTACAGCAGTGGTTCCAGCCTTTTTCCTTAAGGGACCCTTT